ATGAAGGCAAAACAAAGTATATGTCGGCTACTGGTAGAAATGTGCGTCGCTCGAACGTCGAGCTAGTGGCTGGCGACTATACTTTCGAATCTGTCAAGGATTTCAGCTACCTTGGCACCGCCGTAACAAACATGAATGATGTCAGTCTGAAGATCAGACGAAGATTCGTAATTGCTAATAGGTGCTACTATGAGCTCAGTAGGCAATTGGGATATAGAGCTATCTCTCGACAAACAAAATTTACGCTCTAAAGGTAGCTCATCCTCCCTGTGAATGATGAAGAAGCGTTGGGAGTGTTCGAAAGGAAAGTTCTTTGTAAAATCTTTGGTTCTGTACAAGCCTAATTACGACATTGATATAATTTAGCGAATTAACATCTAGCGGTTTCGCTGGCTTGGTCACGTCGTGAGAATGAACGAAGATGCTCCAGCGAAAAAGTTGTTTGAAGTAGTAGTTGGCGGAAGGAGTGAACAAGTTGAGGGAGCACTAACTGGACTTGATGTACGAGACTGGAGAAGAGGCGCACGTAGCAGAGACGCCTGGGAAGACATAGTGAGGCCGAAACTCGGTAACGGGTTGTTATGGTTAAATAAGTAGTAAGTAACTATATAACCTAGTACAGTAAATTATACATAAAAGATGACTTTACTAAAACAGGTAGGCGTATCAGGAAAATCGGAATCGTGCAGTCACCTTTTCTATAACTCAACAATATACACTGTTAACGATAACAAAATAACACATGAATTTATGTAAAATTAAACTACAAAAATATAAATGAAATAATTCTCATATCTGCGGTGATTTTTTCCTAATTGGAAATTGCCAGCGTGCATATGTGCGTGCTTTGAATGGCCAGTGAATATCCTTGCATGTGTGTCTATCGGAAAGCCTCGTAACAGCAATCCAATCGCCCTACTATGACACTTATTACTGAAGTAATTCCACTTTTCCGTAGGGGTTTCCTTCGCTTATTTATTTATTTTCCTTCCCGCATTCACTTTCCACACTGCGGCATGTAAGATAAATTACACGGTCAATTTTCCTTAATACTCGCAGGAGCTCGGTTTCATTGGGCATTAGGAACAGTGAATAAACAAAGATTTATGTGGTATTAATATTGAATTTTTGGCACTTTTATTTAAGTTGCTCTATATTTTATTCGAATCAATTATTTTTCTGTTAAACAACACATGAAATATACGTATTCCTTAAATACAAGAGAGTTTATGTCCTTAAGATATTCAATAAAAAAAAACACTTTGTTGCGCACCAGAAGGAGTAGACGTTATTTATGGACTGTTGTTATTTATTCCAAATTTATACTTACGAAATATAATTTTTATTAAATAATACGTATATATGAACTAAAAGTGGTCTTCATATATTAAGATTTAATCATTTCCACAAAACTAGATAACAGCAATCTTATGTATCTTGTAAATATGGTAATATAATGTTGAATGTAAGATACAAATTCATTTTTAATTAAAAGTACTTAGTGAAAATATAAGATATATATTTATAATTAATTTCTTTTTTTTTTATTAAGAAATGTATTCAAACAAACAAAGGATACGGCAGCTTTAAGGACGATTTAAATTTTATATTTTTTTTTTTTCTTAAAACTGGAGTGATATTTTTCTTTTAATATTTTTTTTATTTTTGTTTTTTCTTCTGCGAAAATTGCAAAAAGTACAATAAAACACCTTTTCCGGTTCCTGATATAATCTGCTCACACATATACCAACTCATTGGCCAGCATTTATAATCCTTGTTCGGAAATTTATTTACTTTGTTAAGTACACGAGAAAACATAAATCAAAGTTAAAGTTGCTTTGTTATCCCAAAATTTGCTTTCATTGTTATTGCTTTTGTTGCTTTGGCTTTTGTATTAATTTCTCCTTTTTGGAAGCCGAGTAAAAGTACAAAAAGCGCAACAGATATCCTCTACAAATCCTTTTGGGTTGGCATTGTACGCCTCGGTTCTGGGTTGGTTGAGTTTAGTGGTAATAAGCACAATTAAAATTGAGGTTTAGATAAATAAATAATCTTACGTCTTTTAATATTTGTCAAAAAATTTAATTTCAAATTTTATACATTAAATTTCCAACATTTTGAACGATTTATACGGATCGAACCCTCAATAAATCCTGTAGAGGTCATATCCGACGAAAACACCGCAATTTTAAATTCTCTTAAAAATACCAACTAAACTTTGAGAGAACTTAAGTTTCTTATTTTCTAAAAAAATATTTTTTTTACAATCTATAAGATATTATTAATTTCAGATATCTCTATATATTAAAGTCTTTTAATATTCCCATGTTTAGTGCAAATATATCTGGGGGTGAAAGACTTTCAAAACGATTTTTATTCTACATCACATTTTATATATGAACTTCTGATAATATTCGACATTCATTCTCTCGAGTATAACATTAATTTATAATATATAACGTACACTAAAAGTAAAAAAGGTTACTATTTACTATTTTACTATAGATGGCTTTTCGAAGCGAAGGTCCTTAATTTCACCTCGCAACAGTACTAATTACTAATTTCTTAGTACTTACTTACTTATTTGCTTAACCATTATACACATGAGTCATCCATGGTTGCCTCCGATAGAGCGCCTTGCTGTCACCAGTTAGTAGTACCGAGCATCTTCACCTAATTGCTTACCTGATCCTCCACCCCGTCTACCATCAGCAACAATCGAATCTAACAGGCGGGTGCCAGTTGTCAGTACCGAGAACCTTCACCTGGTTGATGATCTGATCCTTTAAAAGAAGGTACAGATGTCCTTTACCGTGTTTACCATTAGCAGGTATCAAATCTAATGGACTCTCCCCAGTTTTTAGTACCGAGTGCTTTCTCCTGATTGATTGCCTGATTCTTCCAACGAAAGTACGGATGTCCTCTACCTTTAACAGTAGCGAGTAATTTAACACATTTCTAGCCAGGACACTTTTTTTCATTCACACAATTCGATTACGCCAGCGAAACTGCTGATTTTTTATAGGATTAACTATAACAGTTAGTATGTAGTCTAATATATATTAGATCAGATCATTCTTAATAGGATAATGGCTTATACAAAAAAAGCCAAGGAAAATCCTATTTAGTTTAGCATGAAATTAGAACAACTCGCACACACTCTTAATTATTTGAATTTCCTGCATTTTCCATGCTCAGTAAATTAATTTCTGTTAACAATTCAAAACTAAATACTTTCTGCTTATAATTGAAATGTAAACAAATAAAAGCTCTACATTTAGAACTTTCAGAATTTTCTGACACATAAAAGCTCTTTCACATGCAATAAGTAACTTATGTCAATGGAAATTTATAAAATCTTAAGCTTATTTAAGTAACTTATTAAGTAAACAGTGGAAACATGATTTTAAGTAACTTCAAGATTTTGTCGTTTCGATTGGCATAACTTACTTATTGCACGTGGAAAAGCTTTTATGTGTCAGAAAGTTTTTTGAAAGTTTTATGAAACCTTGTGTTTCTTAAAAAAAATTTCACACAATAATATATCACACAAAAAGTTAGAAATATATTTGACGTATATATTATATAGGTATGATCATTTATTCATATACCATATGTATATATTTTATAAATATATTAAATATTTAATTATTAAAAAAAAAGATTTTATTAAATACTTGCTTTTTTAGTACGTATGTTTACATTTTATATATAAAATATATGAAAAATATTCAAAATTTTAGTCATTTTATTTTTATGGGTTGCATTCGACTTTTTTGGTATAATATTTTAGCTTTATTTTTCAATAATTTAAAAAACACTTAAGCTCTTTGTATGGTTAATTAAATTTTCTGGATAAGTTAAACTAAGTAAGCAGTGGAAACACACTAAGTGATAACTTACTAAGTAAGTAGTGTAAGCATTGTATAAATGAGACAAATAGAAACAAGGTTTTAATTGAACAGCTTTCAAACGCAGTTACTTAAAAGGTGCTTAAAAGCTTAAAAGCCATAGACTACAACCGGTTATTCGCAAACCACAACCTCTTTTAAGTTGATTAACAGTAAAAGCTTCGAAGAACGTAATAGTACGATCTTTATACAAATGTGCGCTTATTAAAGACCGTATTATAATACGGTCGTTTGGCTCATTTATAAACAGCGCCACCTACAATTCAATTAAATTAATTTCTACTAAAAGAAGTGACGCATCTACATAAAAAAAGTTTTATTTCAAAAACTATTATTTAATATTAAGTTTGATTATTATTTTCATATATAATCTCTATAATAATTTTTTATTAGACATTTCAAACTACAATATTATTGGCTATTTTTGCAGATAATTCTTATTTTGCAAACTGTTAAACTGCTTTATCGACAGATGTGTTTCTCGTTGTTTATTGCGTGTCTTTTTCTTTGTTTTCTTCTTAATGGAATATTTGGCATACTTGTCAATTTATTTTAGAATATAGCAGGCATAATTCCTATATGAATTTAAACATTTGCAAAGTAAACAAAATACTTTAAATATTTTAACAACATAAATAAAAAACAACAGATTAAATCAAATGTTATAGACAAACGTATTTCACAATAATCTCACAATTCAACGAATAATTCAAACATTAAAATTTAAAGTTTAAGATTTATATTTCTATAAGTTGCATATTTTAATATAATTAGCGTATTTGTATATCATTATTAAATATTTAACTCTAACATTTAATAAAATTATCAATATTCACTATAATAAAATTAATCCAAGTTAAAGTGAATGTTTATAACATTTATATATATGTTTAAATCTATGTCTTGATATCATCGTAGCTCATATCATATATATATTTTTTAAATATTTATTATTTTTCCCTTTGTAATATAACATTTATTGAATATAATAATATTTATTTAATTTTAAACAAATCATTGTTTATGCGCCAATCCGCCTACATTTCGAAATATTCTTTTTGATGTGTTTTGCTATCTTTCTCTATCTCTCATTCTACGCCACCACGTCAACCAATCAAAAATGAACAAATGTCAGTGGCAAAGCAACTCTGGGAGAAAAAGCATAAATCGGCAAGAGCGTTTGACAGTCGGCACAGAAGTAGACAACAATAAGCAGTGTTTCTTGGCGTGCAGTTTTAGTTTTAAGTAAAATAATTAAAATTTTTGTAAGCGAGGTTAAATTAAGTACAGAAAATTGAACTCGTCTTCCTGTGATTATCTGTCAAAATTAACTGCAAGTATTAGAAAATAAATTATCACCAAAAGAGTTGAAAGAATTTACTCGCCGGTATTTATAGAAAAATTTTAAAAGTAAATACAAATAAAGGCGAAAATGTTTAAGTTCCTTATCTGTAAGTTAATTTACTGACGATTTGTGCAAGAAACATGTTATATGTGTATATATTGTGCATTTCTAGTTTTGGGACTGCTGTGCGGTACGACGTGGGCGTTTTATTCACCTTCTGATAATGTTGTGGAACTAACGCCAGCGAATTTCCAACGCCTTGTGGTTAATGACGATGCCATTTGGATAGTTGAATTCTTTGCACCTTGGTGTGGACATTGTCAACAGTTGGTGCCGGAGTACAAAAAATTAGCCTCGGCATTGAAGGGCATAGTTAAGGTAGGTTCTGTTAACGCTGATGAGCACAATTCGCTTGGAGGCGAATATGGTGTGCGTGGGTATCCAAGTATTAAAATTTTCGGTGCTAATAAACGTTCGCCCACGGATTTCAATGGCCAACGAACAGCAAAAGCAATGGCTGAAGCGGCTTTAGCTGAAGTCAAGAAGAAAGTGAACTCTGCGCTAGGCGGTGGTAGTAGCGGTGGAAGCTCATCTAGTGGTGATGATGATGTCATTGAGCTTACAGAAGATAATTTCGATAAGTTAGTTTTGCAATCGGACGATGTGTGGTTAGTTGAGTTCTTTGCACCATGGTGTGGACACTGTAAAAACTTGGCACCTGAATGGGCTAAAGCTGCTAAAGAATTGAAGGGCAAAGTTAAGTTGGGCGCTTTAGATGCAACTGTCCATCAGAGTAAAGCAGCTGTAAGTATATTAATTAAATGTGCTTTATAATTATTTTAATCCTCATGAAATTTACATAAATATATATAGTTTATATATATATTAAAATATAGATATAGGAATGTCAGCATATAGATATAAAAATACATAAATATAGACATAGGAATATATAAATGTAGATATAGGAATTTATAAATACAGATTTAGCAATATATAAATACAGATATAGGAATAGAAATATATATAGATATAGGAATATACAAATATAGATATAAGCATAGATTTCGCAACATATAAATATAAATGTAGGGATATATAAATATAGCTTTAGGAATATATAAATATAGCTATTAGAATATATAAATATAAATGTTGGAATATATTAATATAGACATAGGAATATATAAACATAGATATAAGAATATGTAAATATGAATATAATATATAAATATAGATATAGGTATATATAAGTATAAATATGAGAATATAAAAATATAGATATGGGTATATATAAATAAGTATAGGTACAGGAATATGTATATATAGATATGATAAACAAAAATAGATATAGGTATATATAAGTATAGATATAAGAATATGTAAATATAGATATAGGAATATATAAATACAGATATAGGAATCTATAAATATAGATATAATGTACAAGTATAGATATAGGTATATATAAGTATAGATATAAGAATATGTTAATAAAGATATAGGAATATATAAATACAGATATAGGAATCTATAAATATAGATATAATATACAAGTATAGATATAGGTATATATAAGTATAGATATAAGAATATATAAATATAGGTATAGGAAGATATAAATATAGATATGAGAATATATATATGTATATATGTACATATATATATCTATGTATATATGTATATACATGGATGTATATATATATATAAAATGTAATATTCTAAACCATAGCTTCTCTTGTTTTCATACAATATGGGTACACTTTGAGATACAAAGCCATTCATTATTTCTCCTTTAGTTTACCTTTGATTTAAAGCATAAACGCGACTATTTCTAGAATCTATTCCGATTCATATTTTAGTAAGCTATACTATAGATATCAATTTTAGTTTCTTTGTAATAAAATTTGGTAAAACCGTGTAAGTATGGTTAAGCCAACATTATAACCTGATTACCTATAATGCATTGACTTTTTTAAAGCCAACATACTAAGAACTTAGAAGAACAACGCAATTGATTAGCCTAAAAGCAATGCTATAAAATCCATTTACTCCATATTTATATTGCAAGAATTCTATCGCTGATCGGAGCCAAAGTCTTAGCTTAGTTGTATGAATGAGCTATTTTTATGATATCTAGGGATTTTATACCCTTTTTTTTTGTTTTGCTTTAATATATTCGTTTTTATGTAATGGATCAAATGAATCAAAGAAATAAATTAAGGAAAATATTTTTCAGGTCTTCATACGAAAAAGATTGTATATATGCATACATTATTTTATATATATACATTATTTTATATATATACGTTATTTTATATATATAAATTGTTTTATATATACACGTTGTTTTATATATATAGGTACATTATTCAATATATAACATTATATATTGATACATATTCATTATATGATAACATTTTAGTTGTATTCATATTAACACAATTTATTTTCTTTTAGGAATATGGAGTTCGAGGTTATCCCACAATCAAATTCTTCCCTGGAGGCAAGAAGAGTAAGAGTGATGCCCAAGACTATGAGGGCGGACGTTCTGCCAATGACATTGTTGCATTTGCATTGGATAAGCATATGGCACCACCACCAGAAATTGTAGAAATTGTAAATGAGGCATCCTTCAATACTGCATGTGAAGATAAATCTCTTTGTGTGATATCTGTCTTGCCCAACATACTCGACTGCAATGCAAAATGTCGTAATGAACATTTGGATATGTTACGCGAGATGGGTGACAAATTTAAACAAAAACTATGGGGTTGGGGTTGGACCGAAGGATATGCACAACAGGAATTGGAGGAGGCGCTTGAAATCGGAGGCTTTGGTTATCCTGCTATGGCTGTTGTTAGTTTCAAAAAGATGAAATTCTCAGTATTGAAAGGTTCATTTTCAAAGGAAGGAGTTAATGAATTCCTACGGGATATTTCTTTTGGTCGCGGACGTACTGCACCTGTGCGTGGCGCTAAATTGCCAGCCATTGTTGATGTTCAACCTTGGGATGGTAAAGATGGTCAAATGCCTGAAATTGAAGAAATTGACTTATCCGATGTCGATTTAGATGACATTAAGGATGAGCTGTAAATTGTTTGTTTGTAGCTTAAGAATTTGATTATTATTATTTTTTATTTTTGTTTTTTCCTTAAAATAGTATAAAAATTAAGACTGTAATGGATTGCTCGTTCACTTGCATGTGAACTGCAACTTTTTTTATATAAACATTTTAAACCAGAAAGTAACAAACTTAACAGAACAAGTAAATAATATATTTTGTTTAATTCTATTTGTTTAAAACTTATATATGTAAATTTCTATTCCGATTTTATAACTACAAATCCATCATTCGCAATATTTTAATGTGTACATGCGCTGAAATTTATTTTGAATAAATATTTATTTTGAAAACTTGAAATATTTACGTAAATATTAAATAACTAATTAACCACAAGGTGTTCTTTGCGTTAATTAAAATTTATTAATAAATTTGTAATGAATTCCAATGTATGAAATCTGTTTCATTTATTGCCTTTATTTATTGATTTAATTTTGTATTATATTTATTCTACATAAAATGTATCTATATAAATCAGTGCTCACTCGAAAAAATTAACATTAGCTCACGAGAAAATATTTTTGTTATATTTACTACTCTACGTGTCTTGAGATGGGTCCCGGCACATGAAAACAATGAAAAGACTGACAGTTTCCTAATAGAGAAAAGGAGAAACCTAATATAATTAAATGAACTGAACTGAGCCATTCTGTACTCTGAGGGCATGAAATGTCGTAATACTGGGAAAACTTCTAATTGAAAAAGTATTGAATGAACTGTAAAGTTTAAAGACAGACTAAGAGATTTATTTACCTAACTAAGACAGTTCCTAATAATTTTTTTCTTCACTGAGCAGAGATATTAGTACAGCTCTCGCCAGGTTTCAAACAGAGCACTATCAATGATTCTGAAAAATTATCTTAACAAGATAAGCTGTTTAAAGACTAGTATCTGCCGATTTTATAAAATTTTATGAAATTAAAACATTTCTGATTCTCTGTTGAATGCACTAAACTGAACAGCAGTGGAATTATCTATCCAACACCTGAGGTTAGCACATTAAACCATCAGAATCGCAGTGTAAAGTATTCCCCGCCTAATTAGTTATAATAATAATAATAATATTGTGTTGGCAATAATAGCATGTTGGTAATAATAAGAATAATAGACTGTCAAAATATATAATGTAATACTAATAGTGGGTAGACAAAAAAAATTACTCCAGGCCTACGTCTGGGAACCGGCTGTTTCACCCGGCAATCAAACACTCCTCATCATTCCAAATTAGGCTACAACAACTACAATCAAAGCTATATGCAGCAATGCTTGTCGACAGACACCAAGAAATTACACAAATATTTTGTCACGACTAATTTTTTTTTAGATTCTATCCGGAAGTTATCAACATTTTTAAAAAAAAACTTTCAAAAGAAGTTTTTTTTTTGTTTTTTGTTTGTTATCAACTAAAAAAACAGAACATGATCTACTAATGAAATATTAATGTAGTTATTTCTTACAGATAAACAATTTAATATTTCTTCTATACAAGTAAACCTACAAAAATGTTCGTACTCCCCGGTTAATATTTTACATTCTCAATGCTATAAAAAATATATTCTTACTCTTAAATGTATCTATTTAAGTTGTAAAAAAATTCTTAAGTTTAAGAAGCAAAGCTCGTATCTAAGCTAATAAGAAATTATCTTAAAATATATCTATATTAACCGGAAAGTTGTTATTTTTCCAAAAAAAAATATTGAATGAAAAAATAATTATTATGAAACCATAGCAAAAAAAAAATTGGTAACGAATAATACAGATAAGCATTTTGTGTATTGTTCTCAATACAGGGTGCCAAAGAATTATTTCATGAGAAAAAGCTGTTCGTCGAGGAATGGATAATAGGTTTATCTTAAAAGTAGTTCATTTAAAAAACTTATATAAATTTTGACTCAAATAAGGTTTTCCGTAAAAATAATTGAAAATATTTAAAAAACAAAATAGTTTTAAACCGTTATTATGTTTGAACCTATTTATTTTGGAATGCCTACGCGCTGACCACAATCCGGCGTTCCGGAAAGTGAGTGCTCGACTCACATGGACTAAAATACTCCCCCTCATTCCTAGAGATATTGTCCTACCTCGGGACTATCTTAGTTATTAGTCATTTAAGACTTGCAACCTGCGTCCAGACCTCGCTACTACTGCAGGTGATTACCCTTGCCCTTTATCTTGGTGTGATACATCTGCTTACCCCATCTGTCTCTTGTCAAGGTCTACTTTTTTCAATGTCAGAATCTGTTTGTTTTGTTTTTTTTTTTTTGAACCCATTAAATTCGAATAATGTGTCGAATTAAAGAGCATTTAATTGCTTAAAAATTAGTTCATAAATTCAGTTATTTGAATGGACCATTCTTTAGAGAGTAGGGATATTTTTAGATGAAGGTTTTTTAAATAGACAGTAAATACATTGATAATATATATTGAAAATTATTCACAACTTAACAAATTACAGATGTATACAGAAAAGACTCAGTCAGGCACTTAAATTGTGTGCAGCTTCCAGGTTAACATGACCACCCATCTATAATAAAAATAAATCCTCGGAACTCATCAAAAGAGACCGCGTGAACACTGCAAGGCTTACTGCACTTCTTTCTGGTCATTAGTGTATAGGAAGCCAAGCAAAGAAACTGCGCATTCCCGATAATTCTCACTGCAGAAGTTGTGGAAACCCGCAGGAAAAAGAAATCATAATACATTTTCTCTGTGAATGCCCGGCTTTGGCGTCCAGAAGATATAGGTTCTTAGGAAGATACTTCTTTGATAGTTTGTCAGACTATTCATCGGTGAAGATGAAAGACCTATTAAATTATCTAAATTCGACATAATGGATTGAGTCTTTACTCTTCTATATTAGGGGTTCTTGCCAGAAATCTGGTAGCAAAATGACAAAAACCACAAATTGAGGTACATGGAAGTTATTTAATGACCTGCCACTGTAACCAAACAAGGTAAGGTATGTTTCATTTTTTAATGGATGTTAAACATTTTCTTCTAAATTTTTTTGTACTTTTCTACTACATACACCTACAAAGAATTCCTTTGGAACTCATATACCGCATATAGTACATGTACTATTTTGTAAACTTAATCGTTCCATGGTTTAGATACTTTTAGATACGATGTATTAAATCTACTAGCTTTTTAGGGAGTTATTACTTTTCAGTTTTGTAGATTTTTAATTTTGATTCGAAACAATAAGTCTGAAAAAGGTATTTAACTGATATATAAAACTGAATTATCATGCTTTTTTTGAAAATAATTATTAGACTGCTACAACAGTGAAAATTATATTTACCATTAAAGGAATTTTGTCATAGTTGGTATTTAAGTTAACCAACTCTTATTACCTAGCGGACGGACAGACGCACTTTTAGTGATTAATGGGAGACACATATGTATATGTATGTATATTAATGTAGGCATAGTGGCTAATATTTCATTATCTATTTTATTTATAATTTAAAATAAAAAAAATGTATACTACTATAATAGCAAACAATATATAAATTGTGTGAATTTCGCTAGATAACATATATGTATATATATGATATATATATGTTTGAACATATATTTTATTCTAAAGAAATAGGCGCCAATGGCTGATGGTGCAGTCCAATATTTATATAAACATAGGTAGAAAGCCATACCTACCTTAAAAGGAAAATCTTCTGGTTTAAATCAAAAACATAAAGAGGCCTGACCAAGTTGGAATAAATAGTTTTTAAAATTAAGCCCAAAAATTCTTTTAGGTCTTTATCTAAAATTAAATCCAATCGATGCGATTTCTAAAACTTTAGTTTTAGCTGCAAGGATGATCTTACTACTGTGGCAAAACATCTGGAGTATTATAAATTAATCTAGAGTGTTATAAATTAATCTCGAGTATTATACATTTTGCTCGAGATTTACCAATCGAATATAAAAACTGCATCAAAAGTGAATGTCGATGGAAAAAGTTACACCAGGTTTACCAAGCAAAAGCGGCAAAAAATTCATTATTAAATCGATGTCTGGAGATCATAAGTTCATAAGCTTTTTCTTGAGTCTTTTGGCAATTTTCTTATATAAAATTATAGGAATACTTTGCTTCGTATACATTTTCCTTCTATATTCTCTTATATATCTATATTTATTAATTTTTTGTCGGCTTTAATAATACATCTATTAGGTTCTATCTTCTACTTAATCGTGTTGCATTTCTATATTTAGGGCTGTTGCAAGGATTGTAACTTAAATCTTTAAACTGACTTAAATATGAACCAAGTCATCAAAATTAATGACTTAAACGTGATTTAAATCAATATTTAGACTTATGTTACGACTATGAAAATAGCTCTTAGTTTTGTGCCAAAACTCGTTGTTTATAGTAATCATATATATAATACAAATACTTGTAAGTCTGTTAACTAAAGTTAAATGAAAACTTATAGCAGGTTTTATTCTAAGTATCTATATATTTTTTACATTTTCGAAAAACTACGAACTATATCCATTCATACATTAACACAGTTATTACATTGCCAACAGATGTTATTTCGGGCTAAATAGGCAATAGAGAAACAAAGCTCTCTCTCGACAAATTGCCACGATTTAAAAAAAACCCTGACTCGACTTTCGATTTAATTCTAAAATTTCTACTATCTTTTTTTTACATTAACTTAAAAGGGAAAGATAACGAAATTTAGCTGCGTAATATATATCTTTTCCTTATAAAGAAAATATTTTGGACTTCCGCACCAATATAGATAATTTTTATCTATTATAACTTAATAGAAAACTCGTCTGAGGGGTCATCATCTTCATAACGCTTTATTAATATTATTTTGAAGTATCCAATAAAAAATCACTCTTATTGATCAATCAATCGTAGTTGTTGTCTTATATATCTCATCCAAGTGCGTAGCCAAAATTTTATTTCGGGAAGGCCTTAAGATAATTTCAGTTATATAAAAAGTAATGTTTATTTATAAACGGTCATGAACTATTAATAATAAATATACTCTCGTATAAATCTAGACTTTCGATTTATTTCAGGACGGGACCTTGTCAATCAATCTAAATCCAAATTTGAAGCTAGACCGTTAATATATTATGTTTTTCAAATCATATTTTAAATATACAAACTCAATATTGGGTATATTTGTATACAATTATCAAGGA